CAATTTTATTAGGTATGGTAGTGGTTAAGTAGGAAAATAGTTTCTTTTTTAAAGATGTCTGTTAAAGCATTAAGGGGTAAAATGTCAATATTCTGTATTTTAGAACACTACAGAAAAAAAATGAAGCAAATATGATAAAGGTTCATAATTGTTCAATCTAGGTGGTGGAGAAATGGCTATCATGTTTAATTTTTGATTATTTTCATAAAATAAAAGGTATATTTTTTTAAAAGCTCTGAAAAGAGAAAAAAATTATTTTTTAGTAGTCCTGCTCTCATGGATCTTACATTCTAGTAAAAGGCCAACTTTTCTGGTACTTGTTCCAACCCAGGCATTCTCTTCTCCCCACCCTACTCTATAAAATCTAGCTGCTGTCTCATTAGCAAATTTTCCCATCAGGACATTAATAAATGAGGTACACCTGCAGTGAAAATCTATGAGGCAACCCTTACTTACTCGAACTTTCACTTCTTTTATACTATTCCTCAAAAGGTCAGAAATCTTCAAAATTCTAGTTTGGGTCAAATTTTGAGAGATCACTTTCTCAATTAGATCTAAAGTCTCAAAATCAGAGATTCTTCCCATTTGTTCTTCCCAGAGAATTGAGAGTATAAAACTGAATGGAGAGAGATTCAGGATGTAGAATCAAAAGTATCTGAGGATAAAGAGAGAAAGAAGGCAAAGATAATGCTAAGAATTTTGGCTCCAGCAACTGGAATTTGTGGTGCTAATCACTACAATGGGGAACAGAATATATACAATAAGAACATTCCTACTTGAGCTTATTGTTAATCTGAAATAATACAAATTGGGGGAAATTTGTTTTTATCACATAAACAATTACAACCTGGCCATTAATTACATGTAGTATTAGGGTTTGGGCAGGAAATAGATGGATCGAGTTTGGAAATTTGAGGAGATGTTCATACAAGAACTGTTTCCCAGGGTGAGAAGAGGATATTGAGAAGAGGAGAGTGCAGAAACCTAATTAACAGGACACAAACAATCCTGGGCCAGAAGGGTCAAGGACATAGGATGGTACTGGATACATAATGTGCTGCCCTGTTCTCTCATTCAAGACTGAAGCACTCATTCTCCCAAGTGCCAGGAATGCTAGCTGCTGCTGCCTCACATCTAGTCCCTCCTGGGGAGCTGCACTGTTCCAAAGGAACTCTCCCCAGGAACAGTCACATCTAATGATTAGTAGACACAAAGCCTAGCTTCCTTGCCTCAGTTTTGGACAACTCTAAGGACCATCCCAGGAGTCCTGGTGTGGTGTGGTGCTGTGGATTAATGTGTTGAACTGCAACGTCGGTTTGAACCGCAAGGTTGGTGGTTCAAGCTCACCAGCCACTCCTTGGAAACCCTATACAGGATTGCTATGAGTCAGAAAGGACTCGACGGCACTTAACAACAACAACAAAGGGCCATTCCAGCTGCAGGTCTCTCCTTTGGACTGCCTGACAACTTAGTCATGACAAAATGTGTTTCAGTAACAAGAGAAAAATTCACAGCCAACCCAAACCCTACATATCTCCATATATCCTCAGACTGTAGACATATTATGAACAAAAAGAGAGTATGGAGGGATATACAAGCCAGGATGTTAACATTGGCCATCAGGGGACTGGACAGACCTTCACAGTGGATGGGGGTGAAATGATTAGCTTTGTCTTTTCCATCTTAATTTATAAGCCCTGGTGGTACAGTGGCTGAGTACTCGGCTATGACTGCTAACCAAAAGGTTGGCAGTTTGAACCCACCCTGACAATCTGTTCCCATAAAGACTGCTGTTGTTAAGTGTCATCGAGTCGGTTCCGACTCATAGCAACCCTGTATAAGGTTTCCTAGGAGCAACTAGTGAGCTTGAACTGCTGATCTTGTGGTTTAAACTGACTTTGCAGTCCAACACGTTAACCCTCAGCACCACACCAGGATTACCCCCTAAAGATTACAGCCTAGAAAACCCTGTCTGTCACATGGGCACACTATGTATGAGTCAAAATTGATTCGACGGCACCTAACAACAGCTCTATAGCAATAATAGATTTTACATTCCAATTCTATGTCATCATATCACAACTTCTTTTTAAAGGAAATCCTCAAAAAGTAAAAAAAAGATTAATAGAAAACTTGTTTTAAATGATAAATATTTATGAATGTAAAAGAAGCTTAATAAACAATTCTGATTCTTAGTTACAATTAAGCAACTCCTAATTGTTCGTCATTTAAGCTTTTGGGGTGGAGTTCCAAAAGCAACTATCTACTTTTGGGGAAAGCATTTAAAGAGCCATTTAAACTGGGGTTTACCTAGTTTAAAAGGTTAGAAGCGGGCAGCTAAAGGTGGCAATATGTCAGCTGGATCTCACAAGTACTCCAGCATCCAAGCTTTTATGTTGGTGTGTTAGTCATGGGGAACAGCTGGCAAAACCACTCTGTTTGTCACCGAGTTTACAGCACAACATTAGGGCTATCTTTTGTGTCCATTATGCATTTTTAAGCAGATGGCACTGATAGTGGGTTCTAGTCCTGGAGATGAAGTCAGGGAGGGGCACACGCCATGCTACTTTCTAAAGGAAGCTTATCCATGCTCACAGCATTTAAAATCATTTGAGGTTATACTCAGCACATAAGATTCTTTATATTTATGATCATTTGCCAGAAACCAAAACTCTTTGTAGTAAATACATTTCTAGCCATTGTTTTATTTTTGAACAATAACAGCAACTGTTCATTCTATAATAGTCTTAATTTCAAACATTTTATTTCATTGCCTTGATAAACCAGAGACCTCCACCCTTCTACTTGGGGACCATCAGTGGCCCTCTTGGGATTCTTGGCAAAAACATAAAATTTTAACTTAAGGAACGAGTCCTGGTTTGGTGCTGTACAATATGCAAAGGACTGCTAACTGCAAGGTTGGTGGTTCAAACCCATCAGCTCCTCCTTAGAAACGTTCTGTAGGGTCGCTATGAGTCAGAACTGAACTGATGACAGTTAACAACAACTAGTTAATTGTAAGGAAGATTAAATCATCCTTGATCACAGCATTCTGTCTGATTTTCATCAGAACCTCCATCGCTATCTGATATGTTCTTATCAGTTGCCTGTCTCCCAAGTTAGAATGTAAACTCTGTCAGAGCAGGGATCCAATCGGTCTTGTTCATTCCACTATGCCTGTAGCAGACCTTGATGTTGCTAAGTGTCATAGAGTCGGTTCTCACTCACAGTGACCCTGTATAGGGTTTCCAAGGAGCGGCTGGTGAGTTTGAACCACCAGCCTTGGGGCTCAAAGGGACCCTGTGGTCCAGTGCTTTCTCCTACGGCGCCGCAGCAGGACAGCACACACTAAGTACTCCACAAATCATTGATGAATGAGCCCAATTGAGCAAGTGTGATATCCGAGCTAGGAGTAGGCTGCTTTGGGAGTGCAGAAGAGTCTGCGTTGGTGTTTCATGAGGTGATGAGTATATCCTTAGAGGTCATTTACTCATTCATCTAAATATTCACTGAGGGTCCCTTAGCATTACATAACAATGAGCAATGCCCTCATCAGGTTTACAATCTACTGGGAAGACAGACACCAAAAAATAAAGTAAAAACACTACTCAATCATCGATTACAAAATTGTGGCACTTATGATGAAGAAAAGAAAACTACAGAGGAATGCAAATAGGTCTAATTACAAAGACAAAATGGTTACCACATGGTGGATATTCAAATCTATGAAGACCACTGAATCAGACATTTTAAAATGGTGAATTTTATAATATGTAAACAATGTTTCAATAAAACTATTATGAACAAAGGGGTACCACAGTGGTAAAGCTCTGGACTCCTGCATTCTGGTTCCACAATCCTTACTCTGACAAATCTTGGGCAACTTACTTAACATCCATGTAGTTCAGCTTCTTCATGAATAAAATGAAGAAAGCACCTTCTTCTGAAGGTTAAATAAATGATTATGCGCCAAGGAACTGGTTGGTTCAAACTCACCAGCCGCTCCTTGGAAACCCTATACAGGGTTGATATGAGTAGGAACCATCTCAATGACACTTATCAACAACAACAATAAGGGAACTAGGAACAGTACTTGGTATTCAAGAGAGGTGAGCTATTAATACCCCAGTCTTGGCAGGGTTAGAAAACTCAAGCTGTATTCCTTGCCACTTGAAAACTTTTCTTCTAGACTCTGTTAAAAGTTTTGAAGGTGTTATGTTCTGTGTTATTTTGCATTTTGAAGAAGGTTCTTTTGTCATGCTAATTGCCCACTGCTATGACTCTGGTAGCGTAGTGGTTACAAATCGGGCTGTGAACTACAAGGTCGGCAGTTTGAAACAACCAGCAGTTCTGTGGGAAAAGATGAGGCTTTCTGCTCCTGTAAAGATTTACAGCCTTGGAAACCCTGTACAGGGTCGATATGAGTTGGAACCGACTCCACGGCACATGACCACCACCACCACCACCACATGTATTTCCCTGCACAACAATTACATGAGATTATAGAAACAGACCTAAGTATCTCCATGTGTTTTCTAGTTTAGGGGAGAGGGAAAAATCCCTACCTGAACACTTCAAGGAGTCCTGGTGTGGTGCTATAGAATAAACACTGGACTGCAAGGTAGGCTTGAACTACAAGGTCGGCGGTTCAAACTCACCAGACACGCCTCAGAAACCCTATACATAGTCGCTATGAGTCGAAACCTACTCAGTAGCACTTAATAACAACAACCACACTTCAAGAAAATTAAAAACAAAAAAAACAAAAAACTTAAGCTTTATTGAGATAGAGTTCACATACCATAAAATTTACTCTTTTAAGTGCTTTTTAGCATATTCACAGAATTGTGTAACGATCACCACTGTCTAATCTTGGGACATTTTCATCATCCCCCAAAGACACCTGACATCAATGAGCAGCTACTCTTCATTACCTCCCCTTCCTACACCCTGGCAATCATACACCCAATTTCTATCTCTCTGGATCTCTGTACTCTTACCTTTACTCTTGGAAAGGTGTGTGGAATTGAACTGCGCTTTTTTTGGGACTGCCAAAATTTATCCTCAGAATCCAGAGGGAAAATAAATGATTTCTGATCAACTACAGTCGGAAGCAACCTATGTAAAATTAAATAGGATATAAAATACAAGTTTGTTTTTCTTAAAGCCTTCTCAAATTGTAATTTTAAAACAATGTTTCCTAGTTAAGGTTACACTTTATAGGAAATAGTCTATTGGTAATTACAATAAATTAGACCAATCTTTAGCATTTTGTTTTTTACCACTATAAAACTGTAGTTGTTTTATTAAACCATAAGAACTTCCAAGTTTGATAATGACTCTTACAGCATGAATAAAAAGCTCTATCTCTGGCTGTGTTTATATGACTAGCAAATGACAGAATTACTACACTATAAAACATTTCTTGGAAAAGAAAAATGCATAGTATTGTATTTTGTTTCATAAAATAAAATCTAGTCTATTCAAAAAGAACATGCTAAGCAGTTCATATTTACATTATTTAGATCTTTGTGATTTTATATAAATGTAAAAGACTTAAGGATCAAAGGTAGTTAAAGGGCTTCCTCATTAATCAGTGAACAGTTCCATAGGGTGCACAGTGTAAAAGCAAAATACAGGTGGAATAAATGTATATGTGTACAAAGTTAGGTCTAAAAATATGCAAAAAGGTTCTAGTTCTTTAAAATGGTTAACAGAATTAATAATTCGGTTCCTTAATGCTACTATGATGCCAACTTTCATTAAATGATCACTAAAAATGAAACATCACAACCTACTGACTTGTGTGAGGCATTGGCGGTTCAGCAGTAGAATTCCTCTCTTCCATGTGGGAGAACTAGGTTCAACGTTCAGTCAGTGAGCCTTATATGCACCCACCACCCATCTGTTAGAGTCCTGGTGTGGTGCTGTGGGCCAATGCGCTGAACTGTAAAGTTGGTTTGAACCACAAGGTCAGCAGTTCAAGCTCACCAGCCGCTCCTCGGAAACCCTATACAGGGTCGCTATGGATCAGAACCAAATCTATAGCACTTAACACCAACAACCCATCTGTCAGTGGTGATGTATGTATTTTTATGATGCTGACAGGGCTAGCAAGGAAGGCCTAGAGATCTACTTCTGAAAATCAGTCCAAGAAAACTCTATGAATCATAGCTTTCTGATCACCAACCTCACTCCCTTGTGTATGGGGTTGCCATGAATCAGGAGCCGACTCAGCGCTAGGTAACAACAACAATGAATTACATGTATGTGCATTTCTCACATTAGTGTATGTCCAATGTATAAGTGTATGTATGTGAGTTTCTGGTAGCGTAGTGGTTACGAATCAGGCTGCGAACCTTAAGGTCAGCGGTTCGAAACTACCAGCCACTCCGCGGGAGAAAGATGAGGCTTTCTACTCCAGTAAAGATTTACACCCTCGGAAACCCTGTACAGGGTCGCTATGGGTCGGAACCGACTCGACAGCACTTAACAACAACATATGTTTGAAGACCCTGGTTGGGCTTCCCTTGAATTACATTTTTCTTGAACTTTTAATCAACTAGTCTAGCTAACTTTTAATAATGTCTTTTAATTATTATAAAAGTAGTAAATGTATTCTGTAAATAATTTAGAAAACAACAAAATTCTTAAAGAAAAAAAAAAATCATTTCTAGACCCACCAGGGACCAGACTCTGGAGAAGGCCACCATGCTTGGTAGACCAGTGGGTCTTCAAAAAAGAGGAAAACTTTCAGCGAGATGAATGAAACAGTGGCCGCAACAATGGGCTCAAACGGAGCACTGATTATGCAAATGCCACAAAACTGGGCATCGTTTTGTTCTGTTGTCCAATGGGTCCCTTTGAGTCAGAACCAACTTGAAGCCACCTAACAACGATAGTAACGTCACTCAGGTACAATCTCCACTAACACTCTTGGCGATCTGCCTTATAAATTCAATGACAGACAGTTGTATTTTGTCAATTTGAATTAGGCAAACTTAAAATAGTGATTTAAATAATAATAAGTACACTTTATACACAAGATGTAGAATGTAAGTTTCCCACAATTTAAACATTTTCCAAAAATAACTTAATTGCAAAGTTGGCAGACTGAACAATTTGCAAACAACTGCTTATGCTATTGTCCCCATTGACCCTCCCTCTTCTGGAAATTAGAAATCCCAGCCTGCCTTGGTCTGAACAAACTATACATTGTTCAAGTTTTAAACAAGTTTTCAGGGGTACAGCTTTTACATTAGATGTAAATGTCCTAGGTATGAGTGCCAATGGATTCGTGTGTGTATACATATGAGTGTGTGAATGTGTATATGAGCATTTGTATGTGTGTATGAATGTGTAGGGAAAGAGTATATGGGTGTGTATGCGTAGGTATATGACTATGAGAGGAAGAGTGAGTGTCATACATAAAGTCTCCTTCTGGAAACCCCTCAATGAAACACAAATTCTAGGTTTGGTGTGTTTTTTTTTTTACTCTTTTGGGTAGCAGATGGTATTTTGGAAAATGTAATATCATGAAAGTCATAGATATTATAGAAAGAAACATATAATGTTTGCAAAAGTCTGTCAAAATTTCTCTTGTCCAGAAATTGCTTAGAATTTAAACAAGTTTCCAAGTATTATACAAGGATACATCTTTTACATAAGATATAAATTTCCTATGTATGTGTGCAAGTGGATTCATGTGTTTCTATATATGCATCTGTGTTGTTGCTATTAAGTGTTGTTGAGTTGGTTCCAACACATAGCGACCCTGTACAGGGTTCCTAAAGAGTGGCACAAGACCTCTTTAAAGTTGGAGTTAGTAAGTCACTTACAAGCCTGACCCTTAAAATTTTTCCTGTGGCATCCTTCAGCCATAGTATGGTAACCTTGGAGCAAGTAGCTCTGGGCATTCATGTGACTCCTTTGGAGGACTCAATGAACTGTGATGTTAGTGAGGGGAAAACATATATTGGGTTTATTAAATGATAGATTGTACACAAATGTGTGATTTAATGTTCTTTTCAAGTGCCCAGCCACTACTTGTCTGTCCGTTTGTCGCACTGTGGTGGCTTGTGTGTTGCTGTGATGCTGGAAGCTATGCCACTGGTATTTTAAATATCAGAAGGGTCACCCCTGGTGGACAGGTTTCAGCTGAGCTTCCAGATGAAAACAGACTAGGAAGAAGGAGAGGTGGACTACTTCTGAATGTTTAGCCCCTGGAAGATCCTTATGACTAGCTGTAGAACATTGTCAGCTATAGGGCTGGAGAAGCATTAGAATACTGTCAGATGTATGCCAGAAGATGAGCCCCTCAGGTTGGAAACTCAAACCATGACTGGGGAAGAGCTGCCTCCTCAAAGTCAATGTGACTGTGATGATGCAAATGGAGTAAAGCTTTCAGAACTTCAGTTGCTGATGGAGCCCAATGCAAAGTAAGGAGAAACAACTGTAAATGTCCATTAATAACTGGAACATGGAGTGTACGAAATATGAATTTAGGAAATTTTGAAGTTGCCAAAAATGAAATGGAACGTATGAAAATTTATATCCTAAGCATTAATCAACTGAAATGGACCAATACTAGCCATTTTGAGTCAGACAATCATATGGTTTACTATGCTGGGATTGACAAATTCAAGAGGAATGATGCTGCATTCATCATCAAAAAGAGCATTTCAAGGCTTGATGGTCGATCAGGGAGAAATGCAGTACAGACCTCCACCAACAATAACACAGAATACTGGATGAAGCAGGTTCAGGGGACGGTCCCAGAACTCTTAACTACATTTAAAGGAATATTTAGAAGGATCACCGGTTTACTGCTAGTGAGATTTATAGCAGAAGCAAGAAAGGGGGCATTTTCTGATCTGCAGCTGCCAGTGGGTACCAGCGAGGCCATCTTGGGTGTGACTGAGCAGAAGCAGGAACAGTGATGTGCTCCCACTGCAGAGATCTGACTGATCATTGGAGATAAAGGTGTGAACATTTGTTTTTCCTGTACATTGGTCTCCCGCTGTCTGTGCACCTCCAATCTGGTGACTAGAGGGGGTGCCCAAGCGAGTGGAAGCCCCTTACCTCCAGAGGGTTCTACTATGCCTGTACACTGATCTGCTCAGCAAAGACCATAGTGTGCAGAATCTAACAAGGGGGAGAGGTCAAGAGGAACTGCTTAAAATGGAATGGTCTCGCAGAGCAGCACCAACCAACTGAATAAGGGGCGTTAAAGTCATACTCATATTTTCCTACATTTGTGTGTGTGTGTGATTATAGATGGTAGTATCCAATCTTTTTTTTTTTTTTTTTTTTTGCTGTTGTGGATTCATTTTCTGTTTTTTTGGTTCCTCTTTTACCTTGGGCAGGAGAGGAGTTCTCTCCCTACATCATCCAAGAAGAGTCAGTATTTGGGGTCATATAGCCAAGCTACAATCACACCCTATAAAATCCCACCATCCAGGCAAGAGTCAATACCAGCTGCTGTACACCAGGTAGACAGCCAACATCTGCTACAGTTACTCTGAGCTAAGTCATAAGAAAACTGAAAAGGGAAGCCCATCTCCTCATCACATCTACCTGGAGGTAATCAGAAAGCTTAATAGTACATCAACATACATTCATCTAAAGGAACTCTGGTAGCATAGTGGTTATGAATCAGGCTACTAATCTCAAGGTCAGCAGTTCGAAACTACCAGCTGTTCCAAGGGAGAAAGATGAGGCTTTCTGCTCCCATAAAGATTTACACCCTCAGAAACCCTATACAGAGTTGCTATAAGTTGGAACCGACTCCATGGCACATAACCACTACCACCACATTCATCTAATTATTGAAAACACATCTAATTATTAAAGACATCCAAGAGACAGTCAAAGATTTCAGCACATGTCCAGAAACAAGATAGAGTAACTGAAACAAATGAGCTGCAGGCAGACTTCCCATTGGAAGGAGGGCAGGCTTTGTAATTGCCTGAGAAGGAATTCAGAAGGATGGTATTGAGGTGCATCCAGATGCTCCACAGAGGGACTGAGAAAACTAAGAAGTCAGGAAAGCACTGCAGGAACAATCAAATAAGACAGAAATAGCATTGAAAACAATTCAAAACCTGCAAAAAGAGGTC